GCTCATCCGTGACTGCGTATGTACAGCAATACCAAAGCAAATCCATTTCAAATCAAGCCCGCAAGATCGTATATGGTGTGAATTGACAAACACAAAAAACAAAGGCCATCTTCGCTAGAATTAGCTAGTTTTATAACCGGGAGATGGAGTTTCAGTGAGGTTTTATATAATATAATATTAGAGAGAGAGAGATCTCTATCTCTGTTTTTGAGTGCGTGTCTTTGGATCTCTTTCTGTGTCTTTGTGTGCCCGCATCTCTGAGCTCATGAGTGCCTTTCTGGGTCATTCCACGAACGAGTGTGTGTTGGTGCCGTCTATCTGCCTGTGAGCATGCGTCGCCATCTGTCTTTCTCTGTCGCGTATTGGATGACGTGTAAAAATGTCAAAGTTGCCTGGCAGCAGGCGATGTGCATTGCTCGTCCTCGGCCAGCGATGCACTCAGACTGTCCTCCCGGCAGTTCTCCTTCACGGCCAGCTTTGTGGAGATTTACAACGAGTGCCTGCGCGACCTGCTCTACGCGGACAAGGCCAGCAAGAGGCCAGAACACGAAATACGCAAGTCGACCGGCAACAAGATGACCATCACCAACCTCACCTACCAGAAGGTCTCCAATGAGGACCAGGTACCCCCCCTGCCCACGGAGTCTATCTCTGTAGGCAGTAAATTGTGTCATTTCCCCTGCTAGGGGTCGCCAGAGCCAAACTTTGAGACGTTCAACAGGCTCCACACACACAACACTAGCACGACATGGACCAACCTAATGGCTGTCTCTCTGACCACTGCAGGTCCTGTGCTTGATCGCCTTGGCCAACCAGAACCGCTCCACGGCCCAGACGACCCAAAACGACCGCTCCTCCCGCTCGCATTCTGTCTTCCAGCTCGACATTGAGGGCGTCAACGTGGGCAGGGATGTCAAAAGCAGCTGTGAGTGCTTGACTGATTACGACGGTTGGAAATGCACGCCGTCGCGCGTATGCTTTGGTGTGCCAAGCTTAAATCCCCATGGAGCCAAAAAAATGGAAGAATGTGTTTTTAATTAGAAACCTGATCAGATTGGACTTCATAAAATGATGACATTCAAAAAAACATTGAGCTGCTCGTGTGTGTGTGTGTCCATATCTGGGGGGGGAAGTAAAATCCAGAAATGGTTATACAGACGGCTCATTTCTCAATCAGCAACAGTGATTTTAGTCATTCCTCACTGAGGATAAAGAATCAATTCCTGTGCGAATTACATCCTACACGAATAGAGTTCAAAACATCTGTAACATCGGAGCTATTTCTTAGTTATTTTCTGCACTGCGTGAGCATTCAGCAGGTGGAGGCCACAAATGAATGAGCATTTTGTGCACCTTGCTATCTTGTCAAGAAATGTTTCACGACCCCGTTTTTTTAAACACTATCACCATCTTAAATTTTGCTTGTGTGCCCAGCCACCCTGTGTCTGGTGGACCTAGCAGGGAGTGAGCGGATGGTGAAGAGTCAGTCTCAGGGCGAGCGCTTCAAAGAGATGACCGCCATCAACAGCTCCCTGTCCAACCTGGGCATCGTCATCACCGCACTGGCCAACAAGGTCAGTGAGCAAACCCGTCTTTCTCTCCTGTCAGTGGTCGGACGTTGAAAGCAATTTGTGGAGATGGCGCTTGATGTCGAGGTATCACTTTGAAACGAAACGCTTCAACGGTGTTCAAATGAAGTCGTCGTGTCACGTGTTCATGTATCTAACAGAGCACTTGTTGGCGTGTTGCAGGATACTTTCATTCCTTACAGGAACTCAAAGCTCACCTACCTGTTGCAGGGCTGCCTGGGCGGGAACAGCAAAACGTGAGGACAAACTTTGATTCCTTTTTCACTTATTACTGGACTCAAAGGCAGGACATATTTGAAAACATTTTGCACAGAAAAACACAAAACATAACATGAATGAAGAAATGAAACTCGCAGGTTTTCTTGTCTTTCTTATTCTTGTTTATTTATTTATTAACTGTTGCTCAGCCACTTAGTTTTTTGTTTTCTCTCCAGTCTGATGTTCGTCAACATTGCTCCAGAGCCGGACAGCTTTGGGGAAACGCTCAATTCTTTGAGATTCGCCAGCAAGGTGAGCTTCACCCTGGCCTCGTTTGACATTTTGTGACTTCAGTTTGCGTAGGATGACAAGAAGAAGAGATTTCCTCACGTGATGTCTTTTGTCTCTGTTGCCCTGGCAGGTCAACGACTGCGTGATCGGCACCGCCAGCGCCAACCGGAAGTAGAAAAAATGGTCGCTGCCCCTACTCTTGGGGACAAAGACATGTTTTTATTTTTTTTCCTTTTAATCAAATAAAAGTAACCTTCGGCCAAGGTATCGTGACTGATTGATGCCCGGCCATATCATTGTATTCACAAATAGTTTTTATAATCCCATTTTTAAAAGACTTTCTGAGTCCTTTTTAATTAAGGTGGTCGCTTCATATTTCAGCAAAACATCTTGGATATTTGGTTGATAATAAAATACATTACACACCCTTTATACCTGATCCCGTGGTTTTCATTTCAAGTGGGCATATTATGAAGTGGCTAGTTCTGATACAGTCATCTTCACACAAAATTTCTCAGCCAACGATTTGACAGCTAGGCCGTAGCTCTAAACTCTGCAAGTTGATGTCCACAAACTCCACATGGAAATGACCTGGGCATCTCTCAAAAATTATTTACACAAATACTTCCGAGATTTTCAATAAATGTTGTGCGTTTGCATTCGTCACGACTTGTTTCATTCATTTGATTTGTCAAACGTGCTTTTGTGGATGTGCGCACGTGCGCATTTATTTTTTTCACACTCACTCACTCACACACACACACACACGTCTCATTTTCACGGTTGAAAGTGCCATCCCGTTTCTGTTCGCGAGAAGGCAGTGTTGCTGTCTACATTGAACGGGAACGAGACATCTCCCGTTTCTTGTTTAACATTTGGAAATTGAAATTCTGATTATCCGAGCTACTATTATGTGATTATTTAACACAACCCGGGAAACAAAATACGACCGTAATTTATTTCTCTTGAGTTTTTGCATTCAGACCGAAGACGTCCTTCAGTTGCTGCTGCCTTCTTTCTTCTGAGTCGGCGCAGCAGCGGAGAAAGATTTAAGATTCTTCGGTTCGTGTCTCTTCTAGTCACTGGATATGACGTTTGGAAGCAGATACAGTATTAAAAATGGAAAAATCGACTGGTTATTTAAGTTTCGTTTTAGAACAAGAAAAGTCTAATAAGTTTGCTTTTCAATTGCTATTGCTCATTCTACAAGGAAAACAGTATAGCGCGAGACACAAATCTAAAACGGCTCTTCTACTTATTTGTGATTCAAAATGAAAAAAAAAACAAAAAAAAAAGGTCACCATTCACCTCCGGTGGGGCGTGACCTCCATGAGCGGAAGTTGTTTAGCGGTTAACGCTCTACAATTGAGCTGTTGTGATCGCTCTTTTTTCAAAAAAAAAATTGTCATCGGGTCACGTGAGCGCCGATTGTGAGCACGCCGCCAAAGTGCGTCCCGTGCCACCGCATCAGGTCTCCCACGAAAGTAGGCAGCCATTTGCTTTTCCCAACGTTAGGTTTGCGGGTGATTACGTGATCGTGTGTATAGCTCTTGTGGGGGGTGGGGGGGTACATTGTGTTCATACATTTGTCCGCTGGAGGAGTCAATTTGGGTCTCAAAATGATTTTAACTTTAACCTGTGTGCATAAAATGACATCAAACTGGTGCCTGCGACTTTGAGCTCCATGGGTGGGTTTCTGGCACTGACGTCTAAAAATGTAGAAGTTGCCTTGCAGCCGCAGGTGATGTTCCGTGCTCATGCCCAGCCAGTGGTGCACTCCGACTGTCCTCCCGGCTGTTAGTTACTAGGGTCGTAGGAACACCCTGAACCTTAAAATTAAACGTTTCCCTGGCACAAGTGTCAACCCTCTTGTCTCGAGATCCATGTTCGCCACATCCAATATGGCGGAGGTGTCGTCTTATTAGTCAAAGAAAATGGCAATATCTATGTACATATGTCTCCCCTCCCTGTCTTAAAGGCGCCGCGTCACCGTCTGGAGAAAAGGAAGATAAACATCTTCCAGAAATGCCTTCCAAATTTCCGCGCCTGGTTCGACCGGCGGAACCGACTGGCACGACCGCTGTGGCCCGGCTCGCGGCAAATCCAAATTAA